AAAGTTGTGGTGGCCACCTCTATCATAAGAAACAAGGAAATGCACAGTCCCTCCTCCTCTCTCTACACTCCTCCCCTCCTTACCAGTCTAGAAGAAACGCTGCAAGCTCAGCATCAAACTTCATCCCTTTACTCACCAAGAGCTCCGGCGGGTCTGGAGGGCCGGTGTCCAGCACAGTTTGAAGGTTTCCCTGCTCAAACACACCCACTTAACCTGGTAATTAACAGGTAAGTGTAATCAGGTGTGTTGGAGCAGGAAAATCACCAAACTGTGCTGGACACCGGCCCTCCAGGACCGGAGTTGTGCACCCCTGATCTAGACCTTCTACATGATTGACAAGAAGTTAGAACACACCCTCAGGGCAGCGCTACTTCTTTATCCTCTCATGTTGGATTGATGGTAGACTCGATGCTACAGTGACTCACTATTGCCCCTTGAGGCGCAAAGTGGTATTACGAGACAGGACAGGCTGCGGCTAGCTGGTTAGCATGCTAACTTCAGCAGATATCTCTGCAATACAATATATATACATAGATACATTTGACGTAACATCAAAACTGTTATTTCTTCACATTCTGTTGAAAATTTTAGTTGCATTTTGAATGTTTTAAACTAAAAATCTTACAAACTGTAAGTGAGTAATAATTTGCACGGTGGTAATTGGTGTATATAAGCGTCTATTAGCTACGTTAGCCTCATAGCTCGAGTGCTAAACTGAAGAAGCAATCTTCAGGCAGCAAACGGGTCGGATCAGCTCCGTTCGGGGGAAAGGGAATAAAGTTATGTAAATTTAATATTTCATTGAACTGTCACTTTAACACCGTCTGTGAAACAGAAGAGCGGTAAAAGCAGCAGTTGAGCAGAAGCACTTCGCTGCCCGGCGCCTCAGTCTTTGTCCAGAAAACTCGGCCGGGCAGATTGTATCCAGCGGAGAAAGCCGTGTAAATCTGTTTCTTACATGAAAGCAGCTTTGATAGGCCTCCGCTCTCATCTCCACGAGCATGTCACTAACTCTCTGCCTCCGAGCCAAAATACCCCCACCAACACCTGCACTGCACAGAGAGAGAGAGAGAGAGAGAGAGAGAGAAGGATAGAGAGTGAGAGAGAGAGAGGAAAGATAGAGAGAAAGAGAGTCTGAGAGAGAGATAGAGATAGACAGAGAGAGAGAGACAGAGAGAGAGATAGAGATAGACAGAGAGAGAGAGACAGAGAGACAGAGAGCGAGAGAGAGAGAGAGAGCGAGAGAGAGAAGGATAGAGAGTGAGAGAGAGAGAAGAAAGATAGAGAGAGAAAGAGAGTCTGAGAGAGAGATAGACAGAGAGAGAGAGAGAAGCAGGGAAAGAGAGTTAGAGAGAGAGAGAGAGAGAGAGAGAAAGACAGTTAAAGAGAGAGAAGGAGAGAGAGAGTCAGAGTGAGAGTGGAGAGAGTGAGACAGAGTTAAAGAGACAGAGAAAGAGGAGAGAGTGAGACAACTGACTAAATTAGTAGAGAAACACTGATGAGAAACAATAAGATCAGAAATTTTTAACAGCCAAATACAAAATGTTGAAGGGTAAAGTATTCCGCCAAGAAATGTAGTTCCTTTATGAACATGTGATATCAGAACAGTTCAATGCAAAAACGGTCGATTCATAAGCATGTTTTGGTCACCAAATTACCACCGTGACTCTTATTTAGCGCTCCCTTCTCACGCTGTGGCTGAATCTCAAATGGCTCCCTGCTCCCTACATAGTGCACTACGTAGGAGTTTAAATACTGGATCCTGCGGCTCAACAGAGCAAAACACAGCTAAGACACAGTCATTTGGGACTCAGACACATCCACACTCGATACATGATGCACTGTTTGGCTGTAGAGGCTTGATTTCCTAAACTTTCATAGCTAGAACACTATTTAGGGAGTACGGAGCCGTTTGGGATTCAGTCTGGGTTTGACGCGACTTCTGACTGAAACACGAACATTTGAAGTGTGTGAGACATTCAAGAGACATTTTTAGAATTTTATACTGCAGTTTTACAGTTAATCATACTGTAAGTGCTTTAATTCAAGCCTGTGATATTAATGATGGAGCTGTTTAGGCTGTTGGCTCTTTTAGCCTGTTAGCTAGCTGACCAGCCTGGTTCTAGTTAAGAACATAAGTTGTCAGATCCTCAGTTTAAACAAAAAACAGGTTCTTCCTTCATCAATATACTCGGCCGTCCATGTGAGCAGCATGTGGCTCAGTAAATAAATAGTGAATGGTGTTTTTACTGGTGTAACCCTGCTGAAAAAAGGCACAGGCCAGCATGAATTCCATGCTGGTCTATGCTGGTCTAGTGCTGTTTTAGCGTGGTCAGGCTCATTGGCCAACATACTAGCATCCAAAACACAACGTATGCCAACCATGCTGGTTTTTGTAGCAGAGAAATACAAATAAAGATTTCAAACAATGTGCTTAAGTGTTTGGCGCTTCCCTGACGGCCTGGAGTGACCTGCTGTGGTCAGAGAGGGGCCAGAGCAAGGCTTCCTCATACAGCGGGCCAAGAAGTGACCGAGCCTGTATATCAGCATGCTAGTCAGCAGGCAAACCAGTAAGCGTCATCAGATCAGTGTCCTGTAGCGCAGCGGCGGGACAGTCCAGGGATGCGGGAAGATCTTTATCAGCTTGTACGTGTTGATCACCATGACGTCATGCTGAACACTGAATACTGTGTGTTTTGTCCTTTAGAATTTCAGTGGTTTGGGGAGAGAAAACAAGACACAGCTGTACACAGACAACCCACAGCACCCACAGCTGATGCTCACCCCACTGCCTCTGCTCTCTCAAACTTTATGCAAACGAGCTGAGTGTCGACCAATCAGGCTGTTGATATGAGGCAGCAAGCATTATCTTGTCAAGTAAAATTATCCTAAATATAGTCAATAAATCTAACATTTCTCCTGTTGAGATTGTTGTAAGTGTGATTTGTTTCCTTATTTCTAGAGATTTTTTACTTGTTTTGAGGATTTTTACTAGGTAGAATGATCTCACTATTATGGCAGATTATTTTGCTTGTGTTAAAAAAGGTGTTTGAAAAAAAAAAAGAAAATTTTACTACGCCTCGTTGGAATTCCAGACCTTTTCCCTTCTCACTAATTTTTGTATTTATTTATTTTTTCTTTATTAAATTTTTTTCTCTTTTTCTATTAAATTTATTTTATTAATTCATTTCCATAACTATTAATTTCTATATTTATTTATCTCTCTATTTATGTATTTCCTTGTCCTCATGCTAATAAAGGGGCTGTCAGTCAATGATGTCACAGTGTCTTAATATTCCTATTGGTTGATCGATATCATATTCTGTAGAACGATTGTATGTGTCTTGGTCTCTCAGCGGTAACTGAGGTCAAGACAGTACAGTAACGGCTTCTTACAGCAGCGGCCAGTCAGAGATCTGAGAGTCACGGCTGATCCGGCTGAAAATGCAGGTCCGGATTATTGACTCTCCCATTGGAGGCCGAGGGGACAGTTTGCTCCATTTGGCTGCCTCTGCTGATACAGAGGTCGACCAGTAGTGTCAGAACTTTAGAGGAGGTGGTTCATCTGCTTTTTCTGCAAAATTCAGATCAAACTCAGACATTTGGACGCCCTTCTCACATACGGCCTGTGGAGCCATTGAGAGTTATGTATCAGCAGGTTTGTCTGTCTGTGGCACTGCAGCTCTTTATGGAGTGAAAGTTTAATCAGCTCTTCTCCTCCTGGGCTTGATTGCTAAGCCTAAAAGTGAAAAACACGCCCCCCTCATTATCATATACACAAAGAAATATGGAAATAAATAAATGAATTAATGAAAAAACAAATTAATTAATGAATGAAAAAATAAATGAATACATGAATCAATGAATAAAGTGAACAATTGTTAAAAATATAGATATGGAAAAAATATGGTATTAATAAAACAATAAATGATACAGAAATAAATGAATTGAGAAATATATAACTGCAGAAAAAGGAAATGTGTATAATTACAATCACAATAAGCAATATATACTTTAGTTTTTATGTGTTTATTTATTGATTGATTTACTGAGCCTTTTATATTTAAATTTTATTTATTTTTCAATTTGGCAAATCTGGTCCTCCATGACAGGGTCCTCACTTCTGTTTAAGGTCCGTTTCTATGTTTTTTAGGCAGCATAGATCACTACCAGCATAATGAGCTCCATTTATTTCTACTGTAAAACGCTGCTTTCACTGTGAGATGATTTTCTTTTCTAACTCTGCGTTTTAAGGATCTCAGACGCTGCAGACTCGATCTCCACCGCCCCTCTGATCACCTTCGTGTGTTAATGTTGATGATGAAATATTACAGTGATGGTGGTGAATAATGAGGAGACGGAGCTGAACGTGTGTCTGTTTATTAGGAGGAGTAATGTTAGCGCGCTCGGATAAAGCGTTTGGGAAATGGAGACTGAAACTGGGGAGCGGTGACGCTCTGATAAACAGCAGGGGGCGCTCTCACAGCATTCACACCTTACAGTTTATCACATTTTAGTTTTGTTTCGATCTCAGTAACGGCAGCTGCAACGTACATTTTTAACATTATTTTGAGTACATGTTTACATTTCAGCTGTGTGGGTATGGTCCGTTGCTAGGTAACAGGCATGACTGTTGATTTCCAATCTCGATCGAGTAGGTTAAGATTTCCTTACTTGAGATAAGATGCTGTAAGACAAGATAAGATTACTAAATCAAGATTTGCTTCTTATCTTAACTTCAGAGAAAAAGAGAGGACGTTTCTGTAACACGGCTTCAAGGCTTCAATTTATAGAAAATAATTGCATCACAATCACAGTATTGGTTGAAATATTTCTAGTGACGACCCTCCAACCAGTTCTCTTCAAAAATAGTCAGACTGATTCCTAACGGCAGCTGAATCTTTTGGATTTAGATGTTTGATTCATTTAAACGATTCATTGTTGAGTCAGGGCTCCCCTCGCTGGTTCTGACTGAGTCCTCTGTGTTCTCCCTCTCACAGGAAACTTCAAGGGACTGTGTAAACAGATAGACCATTTTCCAGAAGACGCAGATTACGAAGCGGATGCCTCCGAGTACTTCCTGCGTGAGTGAATCTCTTGTTTCTTTCAGCTGGTGGGGCGAACGGGTGGGCACTGTTCTGGTTCACCTCTGCTGCAACACAGTGGCCTGTTTATGGTGAAACCACACAATCCGATTTCTGTATTTTTCAATGCAGTAGTTTAAGGGAAAATCTTTTTTTTTCCACTTTCCCTCGTGATACCAATCAAGACATGTTTGGTGTCAGATGTTTACAAAAAAGAGGTTTTGGCAAATGAGATTATCTTAAATATAGTCAGTATAAATAAGTATGTATGGTATGTGTGTGTATATATATATATATATAAATATATATAAATATATATAATCGATTCACAAATGTTAAAAATCGATTTTCTAAATATTTAATTTATAATGTACTGTTGACGGAACGTTAAAAGGCAGAACTTGGAAGTGGGTAAGTGCAGCGCCCGGACAGTCTGTGGCGGCACATAACAAAAACACAACTGGATGAGCGAGAAATCCGACCGGCTCCCTCTGCATTAAAGCCAGGTCAGGTCAGGAGTCACAACACAAATGATAAGAAGAGCCATTTTGTCTTTCAACGAAGTCAAATCACCTTGGGAGCCACAACATTCAATGTCCAGTATGTCTCAGTGTGGGATAATGTCCTAGTATAGACTAAACAATATAAAGGAAAACGCAGATTTACTTTGCTCTGCTTTGAGCTTCGCCTACAGCCGCTTTCCTCCCATCTCCGCCAGAAGACTTTTCCATCAGAAGTAGATCAGTTAAATGTCTCTCAGCGTTCGACTGTTTTACGAAGCTGAAGTCACTTCTTATTCTCCAGCTTCTTGTTCGAATTTACCCATTCGAACCATTATATATATATATATATATATATATATATATAATATATATATATATATATATATATATATACAAACAAGGAGGGCGGAGAAATATTAGATTTATTGACTATATTTGAGATAATTTTACGTGACAAGATACCATTTGTTGCAGTGTGGTTGCTGATGGTGCCCACTACACTCTCAGAAATAAAAGCACTAAAAGGTTACTTGGGTTGTTCCCTCAAAGGTTCATCTCAGAACATTTGGTTATGAAAAGGTACAAATACGAAACTTTTCACCTGGAAAAACTTATTTAAGGTTCACAATCAGACCTTAAAACCACTGTTGGACCTTTGAGGGAACATTTACACTGTTTGTACCTTGATGAACGAACATGTACCTGAACAGAACCTTTATTTCTAACAGTGTATGACTCGCTGTTATCTATAAAATAAACCAGCTCAGCACTAAAGAAGCAAACTTCAGACACCAAACATGGCTGACCGACTATGTCTGATGGAGAAATGATGCATTTATTTATCTTGTTTTCGCCTAACTACACCTTTAATCTGATCTATCACGGTTTATCACTGTTGTTTAGACAACAGTGAGCAGTGTGAATGTATTGGGCAGTTTAGTACTGTAGAAATAATGCATTATTTTCTCTCATAGTTTCTTATTTTCTTGGCTTTCCACGTTTATAAGCAGTCAGAATGTGTATTAGCAGCTCCCCGTTTTTTCTCCCATGTATTCCCCCACTTTTTTCCAGCCAGCAGCACTTCCAGCGCCGTCTAAACAGGTGTGATTACAGCACAGGGAGTCCCGCGTACACACGCCATCGATTTATGTTCTTTTTTTTTGCCCTCATAAACAAGCGAGACGAGCACCAAACAAAGAGCATCAATCCTAAAAACACACAAGCTATCAGTTATAGCGCGACCCGCAGGAAGAAGCAGAAACACAGAGGGAAAAGTGCTGTTACGTTGTTTTTGTCTCAGAGAGTGCAGATAGTTACAGGACACATGGTAAAATACTGTATACATTAGAAAGTGAGACTGATACCAATAACATGGGTGTGTATAGCTAAATTAGCATGCAATATGCACATTTACCCCACTCTTTCATTTAAAGGAGACATATTATACTTCAAAAGACAAGATATAAAGCAAGTAAAGTTTATTTATATAGCGCTTTTTACAACAGGTGTTGTCACAAAGCTGCTTTACAGAAAAATCATCATTACAGAAACAAATCTGGGTCCGAGCCCCCATGAGCGTCGCCAGTGGCGACAGTGGCAAGGAAAAACTCCCTAAGAGCAGGCGGAAGAACCCTTGAGAGGAACCAAGACTCAGAAGGGGAACCCATCCTCCTCTGGTCGACACCGGATAGTAAACAGCATTAGTATAAGTTGTTGTAGTACACAACGGGGAAAACAGGTGGAGCAATGGTTAAATGGATTAGTTTAGTTTAAGCAGCAGCAGCATCAGTGGGAGGGTGAGGTTTGGACAGCGTTGTTCAGCATGAAGCTCAATGGTGGTCAAGCCGGTCCAGAAGGCTGGTGAGCAGTGGGCACCCGATCAAGGCAGGCGATGCAACAGCATCAGACGCACAGGATGGGCAGCTGGTCAACTCAGCAAAGAAAGGAAAAACACACAGAGAGTCAGTTCTGTAATGGGTGACTGATCACAGATTACAGTGTTAGCAGAGCAGCGGAGACTCTGGCAGGTGTAGAACCGACAGGGAAAACTAATCACCAAAGGCTTGACTATACAAGTAAGTTTTTAGCCTAGACTTAAACACTGAGGCTGTGTCTGAGTCCCGAACATTAACAGGAAGACTGTTCCAAAGCCGGGGGGCTTTTTATGAGAAGCTCCGCCCCCTGACGTAGCTTTATTAACTCTAGGTACTAATAGTAAAGCAGCACCTTGTGATCTAAGTAGGCGTCATGGTTCATAGTGGGAGAGAAGTTCACTCAGGTACTGAGGGTCGAGTCTGTTTACAGCTTTATAAGTCAGTAAGAATTTTATAATCAATGCAAAATTTAACTGGTAACCAGTGTAAGGTTGATAAAACTGGGCTGATATGGTCAAACTTTCTGGTTCTTGTAAGGACTCTGGCTGCAGCATTCTGGACTAGCTGAAGCTTATTAAGGCTTTTGCTGGGACATCCAGCCAGCAGGGCATTACAGTAATCTAGCCTTGAAGTAATAAATGCGTGAACTAACTTTTCTGCATCCTGTAGAGATAATGCGTTTCTCAATTTAGCAATATTGTGGAGATGCAGGAAGGCTGTTCTAGTAATATTAGTTATATGTGCGTCGAAGGACAGATCAGGGTCTATCATGACACCAAGGCTTTTTACAGATGAGCTTGATGCAACTGAGAAATTGTTAAGTTTAAGTGTTAAATCAGACAGTTTGTTTCTAGCTGCTTTGGACCAAGAAGTAGAACCTTTGTTTTATCCGAGTCAAGAAGGAGGAAGTTACTCGACATCCAGTCTTTTATCTTGCCAAGTTTAATGTCATCGGCATAACAGTGGAAATTTATGCCGTGTTTACTGGTAGTGGTGCCCAGTGGTAGCATATATAGTGTGAATAATATAGGTCCTAAAACAGAGCCTTGGGGAACACCATACTTTACTTTTGTGAGGACAGATAATTCAGCGTTTACATTAACAAACTGATAAAACAATGCTAAACCATTTATTTGCCCGTACTGGGTTTTTTAAATTTACATTTACATTTATTACAGCAGTTCTTAGAGCTTGTGTATGTGTGTTCATGCACGCATGTTCATACGTGTGCATGTGTATTTATTTGACTAAGTGTAAAAGTGATAGAAAGATAGAAAGTGTGTGTGTGATTAATAAAGTAATATCTTGTCAGGTAAAATGGTCTTAAATCTAGTCAATCTATCTAATATTTCCTATTCTGAGATGGTTGTGTGCTTTGGATTATTTAACTTATTTCTACACTTTTTTACTTGTTTTAAGTAACTTTATAAGTAAATAGTATCTTATTTAGTAAGTCTAACATTTGTCCAGTCGAGATTGTTCTACGTTTTTTTAATAGGACAATAATGGACTCTAAAATGTGCAGCATGTCACTGACCCCGTTACTTCTGATACGTGAGCATATTTAAACTTTAACACGGATAGACACTTTAATCGTAGTGCACTTTCCAGATCAGAGGATGCTATTTGTACTTTAAGAGTAGGTTTTGATGGCTGCTACTACAGATACAGTCCAGATGACAGCAGTTCATTAAGGGAAATGACCATGTGTTGGTTAGATGGCCATAACTAAGTGACTGTAGGTCAAAGGTAGAGCCTCATCAAGTCACATATATCAGCCTGAATGGGCTGATGAGTAACTCTAGGCTGCCTGACCCCTAACTGACCCCAGTGAGCTATAGGACCTACAGTTAAAAGCCCACGTCAGCTCTGTGATGTTATATGAACGTCTGAACACAGCAGTGCTGTCATTCAGAGCTTGGTGAGAACCTGCTGCTGTCTGAGTGTGTGTTCTCTCCCTGTAGGGTTTGTGTGTGTGTGTGTGTGTGTGTGTGTGTGTGTGTGTGTGTGTGTGTGTTGAGGTAACGGACGTCCAGCGCAGTGCTTTAAAGGAAATTCCACAAATTTCTCAGCTTTTCAAATAACTAAACAGTTAAGATGTAAACAGAGTGATTTGGTGTGAAATGCTCAGTTCCACACCCTTAAAAGAAAAAAATGGTTCTTTATAGAACCATGAACACTCTTAGAACCCTTTGATAAAGGGTTCTTTCTTCAGATTGGCAGAGAATGTGCTGTAGATGGATCTATATGGAACCTTTTTGAAGAGGGTTCTATATAGCACCAAAAGGGGTTCTGCTATTGTTATGGTGTGAAGCCTCTAACAATAGAAGAAGGCTTTTTGGTGCTACATAGAACCCATTTTCAAAAAGATTCTATATAGATCCATCCACAGCACATTCTCTGACAATCTGAGGAACACTTTCATGGTGCTGTTCATAGTTTTATATAGAACCATTTTCTTTACTGAAGAACCCATTGAGGAACCATCATTTTTAAATGTGTACTATGGCAGAACCATCAATGCATTATCGCTATCACTGATTGTGAGCAACATCCCTCTGTAACCATAACTGCTCTTGGATGGGTAGGATGGTTCTCCCTCTCTCCCCATCACTCAGAGTGA